AATGCAATGTACAATTAGACGTTATTGTATGTTTCACATACATATTATTACAATACATATATTTATTACAATATATACATAAAAGTTTCTTCATCAAGCTTCATCTTCTTTCTTTATTCTTTTTGAAGGTTCTACTTCTACTTGGTCATTTGGCGCATGCCTTTTTCTTTGCAAAAACCTTGCCACCAGAACAAATATTTCCGCTCGTAAAGAAATGACATCATGTGGTGAGAGGTCGCTCAAATTTACCTTTAATGATTCTAGCAGCAGATTTAGCCGCATTTGATCAGAAGGGGTGGGATCAACATCCATCCTACAGTAAGGGCATTGATATGATGAGCAGGACTCGCATGGCTGGATGAGATGACGTCACGACTCGATCAGGATTCTGAATTGGTTGAAGAACAATGGAGCAGGTGTACTCGCGCACTTCCGACGCAAAGATTCGGTGGCGGGGAGAAACATTTTTCTATGAAGATAAAGGTCTCTCGCCAATTAAATAAGAGAGAGAGAGAGAAAAACAATTTCCGTGGAACGTAAGTCCGATCCCGCGATTAGGTGGGTCACACTAGGAAAACTTGATACTTCGCGATGAAGCAAGTTTCCTTCGCGGGGACTACCAACTGCGCCAATTAAATAAGAGAGAAAACTTGGAATAAATTAATACAATTTATTACACAAAAACTAAAGTAAAAATCGGAAGTGAAGTGGTGACCTCCTTAGCGCGCGATGCGTAGGGTAAGTGAATTCGGTGCGGCGATCATGTCCGGGCCGCCGGGTGTTATCATGAGGTCTAAGTTCAAGAGATACCGATAACAGTATGACTCTTGTGTATGGAAAATATATCACCCGGATGAGAGCTAGGTGGAAGAAACCAAGGGTGTCCTTACGTGGGTGGATGCCGTCATAAACCAAAAGATTCAAAGCGTGATATCTCGGTGATTATCGAACGTAGAGAGTTGCTGTTAGGACAGATCTTGATGTTGTTCGCTGATCGACAAAAGCCAAACATCAAAACACGATGCTGAGACCAGCGCAACTGACCCACTGCTTAACGTTACTACAATTACCAGAGCCGCTCTCCGTCGCAAGAGCGATGGAGCTACTGTCTTATTTTTGTCTCTCGTTAATCTAATTTACACAGAATTTATTTGTTTGTTTGTATCTGCACCAAAAGGCTAATACAAATATTTCAAGGTTTATATTAACATTTTAATACATTAATCAAGTATGGTAAATAGTTAAATCACATAGTAGGAGGCCAAACAAAGATTCAATCCTTAGGGTATCCATACATTTCATAGTACTCGCCGTTAGTTAGATATTCTTTTAATTCCGCTTTAAAATTTTTTGCATCATAAATTTTCTTTAGATCATCTGGGAGTTTCAAGAAGAAGGTATGGTTTCTTCTTAAAGTGGGGCTACCCTTCATCGCAGCCGTTATACCAGCATTCCTGGTGTTTACTTGGCAGTTGGCATTTGAATTTCTAGGATCTAATTTATAAATGACAAAATTCATGATAAATCGAAATATCAAGAGGAATCACACTGTAAGCAGCCGACTGCTCTTAAAGAAAATTCTGCAGGAATAATATGGATTTAATTTTAATATAGTCCTTAAAGCTCTCTCTTGGATTTTGAAAACTCTTTCAATGAGGAGTTTACCACTCGGAGTCCAAGAGTTAATACAACAGTAAATTCTTGATGCAATGAGGGCATGGTATACCTTAATTAGTACATCAAAATCGTCGTCGCAGACTTCCTGTCATACTTCATTTTTTAAACGGAAAACTACTCAACGGCAATTCTTTAAAACTGTCATGATTTTTCTCCTCTATGCGAAGAAAATTCTGCAAAAAATTCAAGAAATAATGTCAATTTTTTCTCCTTTAAAATAATTATATGTAGGCGGAGATTTTCAGACACCGCAAACGAGTTGTGCACTGGAAAAAAAAGTAGCTTGGATCAAGCCTGATTATTCTTGAATTTGCCGCCAAGAATTTTTTTTATCTTGTTTGAAGCTAACTTTTTCTTGATACAAGAAAAATAATGCTTGAGTTAAGCTAAAAAGTAGCTTATATTAATGAGCAAACTTCTTCATTTAAGAAGAAATACTTCTTGGCGGCAAATTTAAGGTTCTTTTTTTTCCAGTGTGTGATTGCCGACTCACACCGTCGAAATGCATTGTAATTGCATTTAATGCATTGTGATTGGGATTGATAGGGTGAGCACTTGTCGTTCAGCACGGTGCCGATATCGCTGATGCGGACGTTCGCGATGATGCTGGGCGAGATCGATTTTCTGGGGACGTACGTGCAGCCGTTCTTCTTGCCGGACGTGGAGCGGAGGAGCATCCCGTTCCCGATTCCGGCCTTCCTCATCCTCGGCATCTTCATGATCCTCATGCCGATCCTCCTCATGAACCTCCTCATCGGTCTCGCTGTCGGAGACATCGAGTCCGTCAGGAGGAACGCTCAGCTCAAGCGCCTCGCCATGCAGGTACACGCACAACTCACCCAACCTCAGTCCATTTTGTCAATGGACCGTACTTCTACGAAATTAACGCATGTCCAAGTAGCAGTGATCGCGATAAAGAGCGATTTTGTCGGTTGGTTATCGCGATTATATCATAGGCAATATATCGAGGTATTATCCCATTAAAAATCGCGGTATATGGCGATTCAATCGCTACAAATCGCAATTTTTGGTTCGATAAAATCGTGATCAATTTTTGTCGATAAAATCGAGACTAAATCGCCATTTATCGCGATTTTTGTTCCGAAAATATCGCGATAAATTGTCGGGCGATAAAAGTGCGGGGTTTTCGCGATAAGATCGAGGATAATCGCTCAGATGTTGATGATCCTGACGATTCTATCGCCGAAAAAATCGCAATACACAGCGATTTTTCCGTTGAGAAATGCTACATGGGTGAGTGTGAATAGCCTTGACAGCTTTCGTTTCATTTTCTTTCAAACTTTCTGCCAACTTATGCTGTGCGAAGCTGTTCTATCCGTGGGATCATCATCAGATACAAAACGAAAGCAATACTAACTGATTATGAGAGCACGAGCACATGCATAGTTATGAAACTACATGCCACAAAACTACGAAGCTACAAGCATGAACAAAGAAATTGAAATAATATTAACGAGCTGATATAACAGACATGGTAAATTTTAGAGTATGGGCAGCAATCTAGGGGAAATGTGATCATTTTGTCTGTGGACCGTAATCGTACGGTTGCATATCAGTAATCGTTCACAGCTCCTTTATTTAGGAGGTCCCATTTAGTTTAATATGTCATCAAAGGAGCTCTCAGAAAATCCTCGAACTAGCATCATGAAAAGATACATTTTTGCAGACTCAAGTAACATTCAGCAGCATAACTTTGGAAACAGTTTCTTGTTCGTTGTTAGTTACTCTTGGTAATTTACTTGCACCTTTCTCAGGTCGTTCTGCATACAGAGCTTGAGCGGAAACTTCCACATGTAATTCTCGACAAAGTTGACAAAAGAGAACTAATCGAATACCCGAACGACATGAAGAGCACAAAATTGGGCTTCATTGATTCACTCATTCGGAAATGGTTCTGCAACCCTTTCTCAGATGATGGTGAGGTATTAGCTGTATCTTAAAACTATTGCAATCCATTCGATAACTGTTCCAGTCGTCTGATAATCGAACATTTATTCTCTAGTTCAATACTGCGAGTACAGTAGTGTCAATATTACGACTTCAGAAATCGACTCCTCTTGTTAAAGCATGTAAATAATTATTTTAAGCACTGTAAATCTTGTGGTTTTGAAAAACCTATATTGCATAGTAAGCATCGTGTTACATTTCTAAAGTCCACAGCAATTGATAATCTTTTGAGGTTTGATAGCCATTTTGATCGTATATTCAGAGATCTTTAAACAAGACTGAGTTTATTTTAAAGGCATCCTTTATTGGTAGAAGACTGATGTTTGCGAGCCTATACAGGAATTTTGGATTTTTCCCCCACGTGATCATTTTACATACATAGGTTATTAGGCTCGGACCACAGTGCGAAGTTAGCAAATAAGCGGATACCATATTCGCAGTTCCATATTTTTCGGTTCAGAAATATTCTGCAATATGTCCAACATACTGCTTAAAGATAATGATTTTCTAAATTAAAAAAAAATAACATGAAAAAAAATCATCAAATAGGAAACGTCATATTCGAAACCTTAATTAAGGGTTATCTACAGCTGCGTGAAGTAAGAAATTTCTCCGCGCAGGGGGCGCCACCGCTGTGTTTTGATTTTTTGTTCCACGCTATTAGAGTCCGTACAGCTCCTAGTAAGTTCTTGAGCTTTTATGAAAGTTAGGGGAACTTCTGTTTAAATCGAAGAGTCATAAGTTCTAGCCATAACATTCTTCTTCCTATTGACACTAAAAACTACGTAAAAAGAAACTTCTGAAGCTCTGAAATTTGATCCCAGAAAAAAGTAGGGTTAAGCATGATGACCTTGATGCAACTAATCGCGATGGATTGCTCTCAGCGGTTGCAGATATCTCTCTCCCACCATGAGCTGTCTCTCTTGCACTTACAGATATCCCGTAAGAGAAACTGGGATCAAATTGTAGCTTTTATTATTAAACTTTCAAAGCTCGCGTTTGTTTCTAAGGATTCCAGACGTATACTGCAAGAACTTATGAGTCTTAGAGTTTAAGATATCTATTGTGATATTTAAATATTCACTGATTTCGGAGTCGGATTTTAGCAGCGCGACGTGGTGGATTTTTTCAGAACTACAGCTGAAGATTAACCGTAAAGCATTATCTTATTCCGAAGTAGATCTAAACAAGCATTCTTGGACGATTGTATTCTCATATCAAAATTTATGTTTGAAGTAGGATTAGACATGGTGCTGGAAAACGGCGAGGACTTCGTGACTCAAGAGCTGATTAAAATGAAACGCAATATGAAATCTATGATGACTACTATGGAAGCTCAACATCAATTTCTTCGTTTGATTGTCCAGGTTAATATTTAAATTAATCTCGATCTCTTCTATTTTATGCAAGGCAGTGTATACTTTTAAAGCGCCGTTTCTCAAAGTTTTGAAGTCGCTCATACTTGACATCGCTTCGATCTTGATCTGAACACAAAGCAATGTTTTTGTTCTTCCCCTGTGATTTAGGTTTTTGATCGATTACAAAACCCTGCAACATCGAGATATTATTTAATTCGGTCATTGAAACGCTCAAACTAGGTGGGGGTTGCGTAAGCTGCAAATCTCACTTTTGAGGCGTAGCTCCACCAATTAGATGGTCGGACTTAGTGATTCGGGTGACTCAACTAGCATAAAAAGAAAAGGAAAAAAGAAAAGCCCTAAATCATAAATTAGACTGAAAAAATCGAAAAATGGCATTCGGTATTTGTTCACTAGAAGAAAAAAAACAAATTGGATCTAGAGTCCAGACTCTTAAAAACATCGACAAGAAAAAATATTCTTGATTCAATCAGATTTTTGCTTAAACCAAGAACCAAGCCTCTTAATTTGAGCGGATTTCCTTTTGATTTAAGCAAAAATCTGATTGAATCAAAAGTATTTTTTCCTGTCAATGTTTTCAGGAGTCTGGACTTGAGATATAATGTGTTTTTTTCCAGTGTTGTAAAAAATGAAAGTAAAGTTTGATTCAATACAAAATTGATTAACTTAATATACAACTTTTGTCTTGAAATTTTATAGCTATTTCTTCTTTAAGCCCATTCACCGACCAGGCTTTGGTAAAATTGAAGCTTTTCACAATTGACTTACATTTATTGTGCTTTGATCTTTCCTCTTTGTTGAGGGTTGTATCGATCCCAGGTTTTCTGAAAAGAATGACTTCTTGTATGAAATCATTCTTTCCGTTTCCCTTTCCCTAATCAGGGACGAGCAAGAAGGAGGAAGCTCCAGTGTCAGGCTTTTATCCTTTATGAAACGAAGCACTGTTGGCTCTGTTCACTGGTACACAGTACTCATATTGAGACTAGGCCACCCGGCTACGGGGCCCAGACCTCAAGAGAGAAAAGGAAATCAGAGAAAGGAAGACGATAAGTTAGACTTTCGAAACGACAGAACACAGCAGGGAACTACACACACTACAAAAAGGGACTTAAAAAATGGTTGGGGATAAGTCCCCAACCTTTCAAAAATATACTCACATCAGGACGCGCGGTCTCGACAGGGTCTCACAGGAACTGACTTCCCCAACGGCTCCTGGGCACGCCATCCCTGATTGGCCGATCCATCCTCCTTTGGTAACTGCAACCAATCAGAGATGGCCCACCCGGAACCACCGGGGAAAGTGTCGCCCTCTGGCGAAACTACTTTGATATACTACCTTGCTACAATATGTAAAAGCGGGTGCCTTTGGGTGACGTTGTCAGAGGCGCGGGATATGTATTGTGCGGAAAAGTCAGTCACGATCTATGTGCGGAAATTGCATACTGCCCCTCGATCGAAGTCGCGTTCAACGACTCCCGAACTCCCAAGAAAATTGGCCACATTCTCGTGGGAAATTCCGCGGCAGATCACCGCATCACCACTGCTGCTTACACGTCACGTAATTACATTAATATCGTGTAATATATTACCGTGCCTCAAGTTTAATCATACACTCTTGATAAGTAATACACAATTTGATGTTATGATTTCACTATTGGATTACATTCTGCAACAAGGAACCACTATTTGTAGCTCATTTTAGAAACAACATATACATGTCATTGATTTCTCTGCAGATACGTGCTTTTATGGAAGAGCCAGAGATAGTGGTTCCTTATTGCCAAATGTAATCCTATTACACTGTTGTGTGTGCGATGACTTTATGAGGCATGGCTAAAACGATTCTTTGTGACACCGGTCTGCGGCCAGCTTGAGACCGAGATCTTAGATGGGGATGGTGATTTGCAGCGCTAAATCCATAAATGTCATTTGTTTTTACGTATCACTCGGGGATTTTTCGGGAGAGAAACTTCATTGAAGAACTGGTGCATGCGGCAAAGCAAGAGAGGATTAGTGTCAAAGGAATTGAAGTGCTACTTGTGGTTTTTTTCAGAAAATGGAAATTAAAACGGAAGCAGACGAGGTGGACGAAGGCGTCTCGCCGAAGGACCTCCAATCTCTGTCCGGGGTCAACGCGACGAGGCTGCCCTCCCCGAGAGCCCGGCAGAAGCTGAGGAACTGCCGATGCTCGGCCAAGTCCATCCAGACCTCGAGCCGTTAGTCCTTTCTCCGATGACGGAGAATCTTACACAACGAGAATGGGGCCATTACTTGAACTGTTACGCGGCAGAGAACTACTATTTCCGGCCCATCCGGAAAAGTACCTATCTCCGCGGGAGATTAAATGGCACCTTTGTTTTTTTTCTGAAATGAGCCAGAAATAGTAGTTTTCATTGCATAATGTAGTCTACTTCTTTGCCATAGCTGTAAAAAATGTCTGATTTGACTTTCAACCAAAGTACAACCTTTCCAGTGGCGTGGCGTACTTCGCGATATATAGATTGTTATGCCTTTTAAACCTATGGAAAAGGATCGATAAACCGGGTGTTCGCAGCGAACACCTTAATAATCGACTCTTCACCATAGGTTTAAAAGGCATAACAATCGATACATCGCAATTCACGTCACGCCACTGAACCTTTCCGCTAAACCATTGACGAAGGAACTGGGACAGGGTTACTATGGTTCAGTGCTCCCATTCCACGTCCGTCAAAAGTTCCGGGATTCAGAACTTTTTTGCCTCAATTTCTCCAAGTTCATGACCGTCAAAAGTTCAGGGATTCCTTTTAGATGTTTTCCAAAGTTCCGAGAAAGTTCCGGGAAATGCAAAAGATCTGGAATATTTCGGAAATCGTGAAAGTTCCGGGGGTAAATACAGGAAAATCTCCAAAGTTCCAGAATTAGGAACTAGTTCTGGGAAATGGGAGCACTGCTATGGTTGCTAAAGAAGTGTACGTACTTTCGGTCTACTTTTCACGATTGCTACCAACGTGTGGCGAGGGAGTTTTTCCTGTTTCACATTGACATTTGTCGTGTCAATTATTATAGGGCAAAAGTAGAAGTTACAGTGTATCAAAATCCTGATCAACAACGTGCATTTTTTCTAACTTCGCAGAATAGGAGTATCGTTGAATTATTCATAATTCGGACCTCATCTCCAGCTAACTAATAGAAAGCACGTGATAGCATTCTGTGTATGGTTTTCATATTGTAAGTTCAGTCAATATTGACTCGGAAACCATAATTGTCAATATTTCCATCTCACAGTTTATGATTCACCATCACGGCTGTATGTGCTAGGCATAAAAATGCATGGAAAATTTCTTCGCGCTCATTTTAATAAGTTGTTTTTCAATTTCATACGTACTTAATCAAGTAGGTCCGCGTTTGAATATCGTAGAAATTGTGTTTACTTTATTTGAGGAAGGAGTACAATATTTAAAAAAGTACCTGTCTTAATTTTATTTGGCCCTGTATTTAGTTTGAAGTGGAGGAGGGGTGGGGTGCGTTGATATCCAAGTAATCTTCAATCAGATTTTGACTCATTTCACAGTCATGTGAAGCAGATTACTCTGTAACCGTTATGACCTCAAAACCAATTCACCCTGGGTATATATCAATGCTACTGATATCTGTGCTTGCAGTAGAATTTAACCGGGTGCAAGAATTATTCAGCGGTTGAGTCACTAATTGATTTATTTTTCTTCACTTTGCCGCGGAAAATTTATGAAAAATGGGAAAAAGTTTCCATCAACAGTCATCGCTATTTAAGGAGGTTCCATTGTGACCACACCGAGGACAATGTTCTTGTTACCTATGCAGCTATAAAAAATTTCGTTGCCGTAGGAAATTTCGTTGAATGAACTGAAAATCCCTTTCAATCGCCCGGATGTCTCTTCGACATAATCCGAATACTGCCTGAAACAAGGAAATTATTCGTTATTACAACGATTAATTATTATTCCTGTCATGGCATATTTAAAAGGAATTCCTGTTGATCCAATAGAAATTTTCCCCGCCGCGAGGTTTAATTGTAATGATAGGAGCATCGAATTCGGAACAGTGTCCAAATCCCCTCCTTCACCAATGGTTCTCGAACCGTGCTCAAATTTTCCGTATTCCCGTGGCTTGGTGGTTTTACACATTTATTTTGAATGAAATTGAAAATATTATATTTTTAAATAAGAAAATAAACCTAAGTCGTGTAAAGTCAAATGTGTCGCAAGTACTTGTATTTAATTTTTTAGAAATATACCTATGTATATGAACCTGCGCATTTTTGATAATTTCGCTATTTCCGCCTTCCTTCCTAAGACCTTTCGAAAAGCGACGACTTCGGAAGTGTCATTTTTATTTACCGGGCCAATCAGAATCATGCATGCGCATAAAGTGCCTAGGTTGAAATCCAAGGTCCATCTGTGATGTTCAACTCCTCGAGTTGGAATGCGCGGTTCATTCGCTATGCTAAATCTGTCTCCGCGTATTATTTTATTTTAACGAAAGCAGAAAACCAGCCGTAACTCTCTCAGAATTTTCAACCGTCTTCATTATTATACCTTTGACCTACTTGAGGGGATACAAACTGGCGGTAACACCGTGGAAGCATTCTTTATATAATGAGATTTGGACCGCGTTAAACAGAAAGGAATCAAGCCACATTAGCTATTGTCAAATGTAATTTTGCAATTTAATTTTTGACAAGAAAACGGTTGTACAGATGTTTGTGCAAATTTCAGTGAATTTTCCCCATAGCACGAAGCAAATTCCTGAAACATTTCAAAGAAATCCGCATAAACGTTCTCTCTCCAAAAATTAAAACCACTTAAATTTGGCAACAGCTGATGGGGCTTGGTTCCTTTCTGTTAAACGCGATCCATTTGTGAAACACCGTCTGTACATTCCCCGCGAATGAATCTTTAACCCAATAGAAGGTTTGGTATAGATCATAGTTATTCCAAGTTTTAGCCGACATTGAAAGAGTTAATTCTCTACAACTTACTGAAAACAATTTTCATTTAAATTAGTGGCAAAAAAAAGTAGAAACGTTTCGCATAAATCAAGCTTCGAAAATTTATTGACGTGTATAATTTTCACATCTCCTAAGTGTACATAAGTCTTAAAACAACATTGAAAAACAACCAGTGGTAAAACCAATGATTATGAGCATGAACAATGAGCTTAATTTTTTACAATGATACATTTTTACATTGTTTTACCCAAAAAGAAACAAACTTTTTCAAACAAAAACGTAAGACAAACATACAAAATTTTAGCAAAAAGACAACTTTATACCAAAATTTTAAAATTAGGTACAAACATATAACGGCTAAGCTGCTAACGTGGTATAAAACTTTTCAAGGAAAAAATACGCGTTGGTAAATCTGATAATAGTAAGTAACAACTTTTTCAACAAATTAACGAATTTTGCCGAAAACCTAATAAAAGCACATCAAGAGAAATGAAATTCTAAATTTAAGCTCTAAAATCTTATGTTTCTGGATGGCTCTTTAAAGTACGAGTCTAGATCACAATCGATGCGTTCAAAGTATGAGAAGGCAGGCAGTCTGTTTACCTCTGCATGCTATTCATTACAGAAAACTTTAAGTGTTGCATAAATTGACTACATTTTTCCATCAAAGTAAAGGCTTGCGCGGCTTTAAATGATGCCGCTTATGTATTTTCTTATCCTATAATTAAAACATATACTTTCAGGGTTGGAAAGGATATTCCGCTTGTGAACGTAACAGAATAGAGCAATGAACCCTTTCCTATCATCAAACGTGCTCCGCCGTAAAAACTGCGCTACAATACGTTACAATGAGGCTGTTGGTAACGAACGTTTTAACTGCTTCTAGGGTGTTGTGTAACACCACGAGGTATTACCTTATACATATTGTAATACACAGTGTTTGCAAATGAGTATGGATGTACCTATCTTGAGACCGGTTGCAGAGATTGACGGTTTGGACCGACTTTCCTCGAATACGGGTCATTTTTTGTGGAAGGCCGTGACACCACTCTGCTTAGGAGGAAAAGTACCATTTAAAACTTAACCATCTACTATTTAAGGTAGTCTCGTCCAAGCCGCATGTCAGCATCTGCAACTATTCTCGAGTTATCATAGAATATCCATACTTTATGCACACACTGTACACGAGACAATTGTACGCTATACCCAAACGACCGTAATCCAAAGCACGAACTCTTCGGAAAATGACCTATGCTCCATTCTCAGTTCGCCCAATCAAGCTCAAGAGCTTTTCTATTTTAAGCTTTAAACTTTATACATCTGTCACTGTCCATCTCGTGAAATGATGCAGCATTTTAAATCGTGTATTCCCTTCGAAAAATACACGAAAAAGCGCGTTAGAGACAGGAGGGGCACGGTTCATTTAGAACATTAGAAGTTTACTCCCAATACAATTCTTCCGATTAGAAGATGAGCATAAACGTGCAAGGGAACAAACAGATCGTCTTTTCGAAAACTCAATATTACATCTACTTTGGGGAAGGCGGTGAGGGGATACACGAGAATCTCGGATCCATACATGGATATACATTACGTTAAAATATGGATTCATGAAATCGGATTTTTGTTATAAAAACAAATACATAAAAAAAATTGAAAAAATTGAAAAAAAAATAGAGAAAGTTTCATGTGACCCCTTCCGCGTTCTCTCTCTCTCTCTCATTGACATTGTTCATTCCACTCGTGTCTGGAGGTGTGATTTTTTTGCTTTCCCGAAAAGGAACTCGTAGCACTATAATGCATTCAAAAGGAAATTGGGAAACGCGATTTTAGAGGTTTTTACATTATGCCCCTAAAACACGTATTAAAGGTTATCTTTTAAAATTGTGTTACCACCCCATATTGTCGAATGAATTGGACATTCACACAATTATTTGCGGTAGTACCGCTACTTAAGTTCGGATGGTACCGCAACATTCGGGTTAGTAACCTAATTTATTGGGGCACTATCACAATTGATCGGAAATGCCCATAACCCTTACCTCCTTTCCATAGCTTTTCTTCGGTACTCGAAGAGAAGCTCCTCAAATTTGTAAATACTACAGGTTTTTTTCTTAATTTTTTTCTTCTTTGTCAGATAATGGCGTCACACAATCCTAGCAGCATTCCAGTGCTAGTAATTCCTTTCTCTGAATGCAACCCCACTCAAATCGCAAATTACATCCGCAACAGCCACCTAAACGACCTTAAGCCGAGTCAACGGCTCCGGTCGTATTAACGTCTTATTAGAAGCTAATCCCTCCAGTGTTCCTATATGTGCAGGAATTCCTGAACTGTACGGGAATAGGCTATCCCCTCACAAGGAGCGTCAAGGCGACCAATAAATGGAGCAATGCTTTCCTCATTTTCAGATTCTCGTACCCATACACGAGTACGGAATGCATGTTTGCATGTTCACAAAAGCATACTTATGCTCGTAAACGTATATCTCAGTTGAGGAGTCCTTTCTTTCAACATTACTCTAGTTTGAGTCATGAACCGGGTGATCAAAAGAGAATTATGATCTGTTTGTTATTCTTCCGCCATACTCATCATAGCCGCACACACCTGGGAACAGTGATCTTTCGTGAACGGTTTCTATTCAATACTTCGTTCGCACGCATAATTAAAACGGCCTTACGTAAGCAAGGATTCATCGAGAGCCCTACGTCGTCGGAAATTGATGATGGCCGTCTCAACGTATCTCAGCGATTCGGTCTACCATCGCAATTGTGACTGCCCTTTTCATCAGTCGGGCTTACAAGCACATAGGCACACAGGAGGAGGAGGAGGGAGGTAATGTTTACTCCAAGGATGTGAAAATGATAAAATATGATAACGCTTTCTTGATGATAATGATATCTTCTGAAAATTGTCTCTCGACAGAATTTCTTTCTTGGGATATAGCAACGCATCCCTCTCTCCCCCCCCCTCTTTCTCTCTCTCCCTCTCTCTTGAAACATCGAGTGATTTTTGGATGAAATTCAAGATCATTTCCCTAAAATTTCGTCGACTGCGGTGCATCAGATTTTTATAGGTATTAACTATTACGTGTTTTTAGAAATTCGGAATTTTAATTTTTTTAAAGCAATTTTTGGGCACTCAAATTCGGTTCTGAAAATTACGGCGATGCGGGAAACCTATTCTCCTGAACGTTCGATTAATTCAATTTCTTAGCCGTAAGTTTACGAGATCCATCGGCATAATTGGTTTCTTACTAGCATGAACGGCCAGCGAGAAAATTTACAGGAGATTTTATAATCTTTGATTGACCTTCGTATGTAATTTTGATTCGGGTGCAATGATGGGTTCTGAAGGCAAGAGGTATAAATATCATGAAAAAATTGAAGCTTAGCATTATATTTAGTAGCCATATCAGAACGAATTTGACCGTCCCCTCAGTCTGGAATGAAACTTTCATTCGCATCAAAACTATACCGCTCTCTCTGAGTTTGGAAGGAACAGCGGCGCATAAGTTACAGGGTTATCCAAAAGTCACGCACCACTGGCCATAATTTTAGTTCCAATTATGATATCGATTTGCGGTTTCAAATGTTTTTCCTCATATCGAGGGGAAAATTCTCAAGGTAATCTCCAGTTTTTGATCCTCTCGGAGGGAAGGAAGGCGGGGAGCAACTAAAAAATTTCAAATGGCCACCCCCCCTTATGGCCAGAAGTGCGTGACTTTTGAATAACCCTGTATACAGATATTACTAAATCGAATATAGGTGGTTGAATAGGTCAGTGAGCAGAATGAATCGAATAACCCAGGTTCATAGTTTCTATTTGAAAGTCATGTGTCTATTGCCTGTCGATAAATGAGAATATTTATCTTCAAGCCAGAGAATGACGCTTACAGATAATGAATCAAATTCAATATATTCTTTAACAATTATTCAACCAAGGAATTGAATCCTTAACATTCGATTTATTGTTCCCTCCGCGTGAAATTTGCCCGATAACTAATTTTCCACTTAAAGTATGAATCACTTAAGAGCATCAGTCTCATCATCTATTTTATCCGGTTTGAAGCTCCATGTCTGTGTAATTTGACTGTTAGGTACCTAAAGAGCTTTAAGTATGTGATCGCATTCATTTCTACTGCAAGAAAAAAAAAAACTGATCATGTCGATAAATGTCAGACTGCAAGTGGTGTTAAGGATCTGGGTGTTCCCTTGGTTTTAAAACCATCTCGTGCCACACGAAAAATAAACTAATTGATTAGTTCTGCAATATTTTATCGAAACATCCAGATTGAACACCAGTAATTGACGTTATTTACTTAGAATTTTCAGTGAGATTTTATGGCCGTGTTCATATTAATATTAAATGGCTAAATTAATCATATTTATATAATATTTAATTGAATGTCTTTATGGCTCCTTGACTGAACATCGCCACTCCGTCTGGTGGACTTAGAGAATCTTGACATGAATCTCTAAATTTTTTCATTCTACACGATTGGGCCCACGAAAACGCTATTTTCCCAATGAATTTACCATTCTTATATTCAGTTTTAATAATCATTTTGAGCTTAGATCCGTCCTCGTCCTGAGACTTCAATTTTCATTTTACCCCATAAAACGTTCTACAATCATGTTAGCAGTACCATTGTTGTGTTTGCAATGGATGTCTTACAACCGTTACACCCTCTCGCCCAAACCTGTTGATTACTTTATATACACTCCCCTGCAAACGTATAGCCTGATATCATATCTACTTTTGAGTTGTGAACTATATGTTCACAAATTGAAGGCATTATATTTCACTAATACTGTAATTTCCTGCCACATGATTCATGGAGATACTCAATTTGAATGAATTATTATGAAAAATCCAGTTGCAGAACTGAGATACCTGTGATAATCCTTTTTTTTTTCATTTCTTATCATTGATCAATTACGTGTTGCTAGGTTGCCTTTCTTCTAGAAAATTTGTGTTTAAACATTTGCAGAATGAAAATGAGCCTATCATACTATCAGAATCGTCTGATATGAAATGCGTGCATTCTCCGGCTTAGGATCGTGTTCTATTTATATTACCTTTAAAATTCTTCTGTTTCTTTAATACTAAGGAGAGTGGCAGGTCGGTGGCTTTTATATAAGTCCTAACCTTGACCTCATTTAAGATATTTAAACATATTTTTGGACGTTTTCGTGATTTTTCATTTGTTTGATTTTTGCCTTTTTAATTTCGGTGCACCACAAGTAAAATGTGAACACTTGCACAAAAAGAAGATAAAATAACCTGTGCACGAATTTGAATTTTCCTTTTTACAACCTGCATGAACCATGTGACGTTCAACTCAAGCCGTGTTGTTTAACGCTCGTCACCTCAATGCCGCATCATACGTATGCACTAGGTGATGGACCATTAATCCCTACCATTGATGATAAAGCTGATGCCTCTACTTTCCAGTTGCAAGTCATTTAGTCGGAGCACACTCTTATAACTCCGTGTGCTAAGCCTTTCAACAAATCTGCATACGACACGATGTGAGTTATAAATATAATTTCCTGCAGTTTTTGGTGAGGAAACAGTGCGTCCGTGTAATCGAGGTTGTAATACCAATCGTGCTTGACACAAGTCTCTGCCACCAAAAAGAAGGCAATCATTTTAATTCATTCCTAGTAGATTTGTAGACTTAGGGGCTAACCAAGGAATATAGTTTATTTTTCATCTCTATGATAGAGGTACCCTTAAGTATCAGCCTTAAACGAAGATGTGGTTGACTCATCCACATTACATTCTTTGCGCTTAGTCAGGTAGGAATTAGGTTGATTCCATTCATCTTTCTAGGGGTGTAAGTGTCAATCGTCAACAATTCAATGATTACTACCACATACTTTTTTTTCGGTATCGCCCCCTTTCAAATTCCATGAATTCGGGAATCAGAAGGCATAGTCTTCGTATAATTGTCATTTCCCTCTTTTTTAATTACAGTTTCGCCGTTTAACGAACGACTTTGAACCGATTCTGTGTTGTTAATTTCTGGAAGTTTTCATATTTTCTTTTTATTTCAAAATAAACGCAAAACTGAAGTAATGTGGTCACTAGAATCGACCATTTAGAATGGTATTTCTGCTATATGTGGCACCGTTAGAAATCACAGTTTATGGGGGTGGAACTTTTTTTACACGCGGAGAAAGCAAGTGTGACAGGGTTAGGATTCGAGCGTAAAAAAATTTCGTCGGCTTGTGTGACACTAAATTCATACGAAACAGTTCGGGCACTTATTTTTATGCTAAGATGATAAGTATATCCTTCGAAAGTCTGCAAACTTTCCTACACCAACTCGTTTGCTTTTATCCATCCGAGTACCGAATCCCGATGATTCCATGACAGTTTAAAATATTTTTCGCTGTGTAAAATCTCCAGCTCTCAGGTATCGTCCTTTACTGGAGTTAGAATGATTTTGCCCGAAATGTGTAAGCTAATGTAATCTTGAATTTTCAGCAATAGTAGCTTCACAAAATTACAAGCAAATAATTACTCAAATGAGCATCTGAGCTAAAGTTATAAAGTAACAATTAGTCGCCTCTGGTAAACCAGTACTTTTGGCCCTCATCATTTCATTCGTAAGTGAACATTTCCTCTCTTTGAAAGAAAACCTTATCGGACCTTATAATCACAATTTTTCTGTCTTAATCAGAGATACTGTCCTCAATGAGCCAAAGTAATCTTGGCATTTCAGCTGCCGCCGGTTTTGCGAGAGTGGATTGTCTTCTCAAGCAAATTACTTTGTTAAAAACTGACAGAATTTTGTGATTACGATACGATATGACTAAGATTCACGGCAAGTGTCCGTCAAGCCACTCATTGCAGCCATGTCCTCGGCTCTTCCCTTTATCCATCTTCCTTGGAAGTTTCTTCAGTTTAACCTCTGGCTAAGTTTGGCTCTTCACCGATTTGTCGTCCCTCTACCGTAACGATTTTGCCATCCCGAGTTTCTCGTTTATTGAATTTTCATCCCTGAAAAAAAAGAAACACGTGAATTACTTAGTTAATAATACAAGACAAAACTTAACCTTAACAAACTTTCATGCAGCAGTTCGTCGTTTTGGGCGTCATGGGGAACCCTTCTCATGCGTTTTCGACGAAGTAGTACACTGGAAATTAAGAAAACACATTTGATCTAGAGTCCAGACTCTTGAAAACATTGACAAGAAGAAGGACTCTTAATTCAATCAGATTTAAGCTTAAATCAAAAGGAAATCCACTCAAATTAAGAGGCTTGGTTCTTGATTTAAGATTGAATCTGATTGAATCAAGAGTATTTTTTCTTGTCGATGTTTTTAAAAGTCTGTACTTTAGATTCAATGTGTTTTTTTTTCCAGTGTAGGACACATAACATACCATGTCATTAAGGCGAAGAGAGCACTAAGTGTTAAATTTTCGAAATCGAGTTTCTTTCATAATTCGTCTAATCTCTCGCAGATGAAATCACTGAAATAGCCAAAATAGGAAAATTCATCTTAATTTTATGAAAAAGAGGTACAGGGTTACTCAAAAGTCACCCACCACTGGGCATAAGGGGGGGTGGCCATTTGAAATTTTTTAGTTGCTCCCCGCCTCCTTCCCTCCGAGGGGATCAAAAACTGGAAAGTACCTAAAAAAGTTTCCCCCTCGATTTGAGGAAAAACGTTTGAAACCGCTAATCGATATCATAATTAGAACTAAAGGTATGGCCAGTGGTGCGTGACTTTTGAATAACCCTGTATATGAGAACGCCATAAGTGCGCAAGAAATTATGTTGTTTCAGGCAAAACAGTAGGAAGTTACACTATTCCTCCATGGAGCCAATGAAAACAGTGCTTTCGAGTACCGTACCGCCCTCTTCTGCCAATTTCATAGAATTGAAGGACAGAGTAAAGACTTAAAAGAATCGTGAAACTTAACTCAGTTTCATCATGAAGTGGGGAACATGATCCTATGATAAGAGAACAGTGAAACCCAACTCAGTTTCATCATCAAGATGGGAATAGGATTTTACGATGAAAGAAAAGCTAAACTTGACTCAGATTCATCATCAATGCAGGAACAGGGTTTTATGATTCTCATAGCAAACCGGCTGAAAAGTGTCCGGACGCCCAGATTGTCGCAGCAGTTTTAGTAAATGTTTTTTCAAAGAGTTTGTTTCACTGGAAAAAAAAACACACATTGGATCTAGAGTCCAGACTCATAAAAACATCGACAAGAGAAAGTGCTCTTGATTCAATCAGAATCTAGCTTAAATCAAGAACCAAGCCTCTTAATTTAAGCGGATTTCGTTTTGATTCAAGCAAAAATCCGATTGAATCAAGAGTATTTTTTCTTGTCAATGTTTTCAAGAGTGTGGACTCTAGATCCAATGTGTTTTTTTCCCAGTGTAAGAGAACGAAACAAACTCGACTCAGTTTCATCATCAAGATGGGAATAGGATTTTACGATGAAAGAAAAGCGAAACTTGACTCAGATTCATCATCAATATTCAAACAGAGTTTTATGATTTTTCATAGTAAACCGGCTGGAAAGTGTCCGGACGCCCAGATTGTCGCAGCAGTTTTATTCAATGTTTTTTCAAAGAGTTTGTTTTCATTTGTTCCACGTGCTTTGGTCCAATTCGTGGAAGAACTCTGCAGTAACAGATGCATTCTTGGCGAGGGTGTGGGTTCAACCACTGCAGGAAATCCTTCAAAGTGGCATATTTAAAAACCCGCGGAGCCCGTCGCTCGGGAAGATTGAAATCTCCCATCATAAAGCGATGCAAATTACGGAGTCAGCTTGAAAGTTGAGCGCGGCACGGAGCAGGCCGGAAGCTGGACGGAAAAACCCCGAGTGTCGTTTAACTCAATCGAGCGATAAATATGGGCAAATGTAATTGGAAAGAATGTAAACGCCGCGCTAAATCACTAGCTTGTGCTGATGCTGCACAGCTGGAGCGCTGCGGCGCGGAGGACGTAGCTGCCATTCAGCGAGTTAATTCGGAAAAGTGTCGCGCTCACCAAAAACCACGTAAATACGATGGAAACGCCTTCGTAATGTGCGGTTTTTCCTTAACACCACTTAGAATTGGTCAGTTTTACTCGGGATTCGGCAAGACCCGTACTTTCGTCCGCCGCCAGATGGTGCATTGGCTTCCACCTCGATCCTAATTTCGGTTGAACGGGTTTTGGAGGTTGTTTTCCGCCCTTTCGCGTGTTTGATGTGCCTTTTGCTGTTTTCTCATGGAATGAATTCATCGGGACGCGACGGTGAAACTGCAAAACTGCGTATCTCGTATGCGCTGTTTCTAATTTCTGCTCTCATTTTATCACCAATACCTCTGCTTAAAATTTTCACGGAAAATCAGGGAATATCTTAAGTAATGACGTTCAGCATTTTTCCATTCAGAACATAAATAATTCAAAGAAGTTTAGGTACAGCATCACAAACCAATATCCGCGTTTATGCGGTTTCGTCGTTAATTAGGCAAGTGCAGTGGAGAATTTGCGAGGATCGAAGACAACAATGAATGATGATCGTAGTTACTAGAAGTTGACCCAGTTCGAACACATTCAATGAGAATCTGCGTGACTACATGCGACATTGTCTGATTTTTGCTCCAGTTCAAAGTTTTATGAGAAAAACCAAGCAATACTTTCTGACTCGAAACTTTGCGAATAAAACTGACAACACGAAGAGAAATTAAGGAACCCGAAACTAGCTCGGCTGGTTCTGTATTAATCGGTCCATATGATGTCATGGGCTGATTGTTGAATTTTATGGACAAGAAGACGTAAGGAGTAGTGAGCTATCCTATAGGTTAAAATGTTTGACTCTTATAGACAAAGGGAGAAAATAATGGACCAACAAATGGGTTGCCGTTAGTTTGTCGATTACCTACTTCCCGTCTCCATTGCAACCACCTGATTCCACCAATAAGATGCCCTACTTCCCTTATTCGTATTTGTCTATAGCTTTGTCTACAAATAACAATAATCAGCCCGCTGTGGAGATCTAGCAGCCACTTCCTGATTTCTCTCTGTGCTTGTCATACGGCTACTGTCATCTGCCTTCATGTCATAAATCGTCGCTTGGCTGACACAAGGGCGTAACTTTACATTGAGATAAGCCCGGAAAAGCATTGAATTGTATGGAAGACAGGGTTCATTGCGGAGTGTAGCTACGCCCTTATGTCAGGTGAGTGACGAAATGGTTAACAAATGCTTCAAAATTATCCAAAAGTCTTAATTTGTTCTCACCGGTTAGGTATCCCTCCGTACAATCAAGTGTACGAACAAGCAGTTTAACGTATAAAAGGAATACAATTTCAACCGTCGAGCGGCATAGATGCACATCAGTGCGGCTTAGCACATGTCTATATCATTGAATGCAACTATTCGACCTCTACGGTTGATTTTTAGTATACCCCGTCAAATGAAGGCGTTCTGATAGAATCGCCGAACTCAGGGTCATCTAATCTACTGCCTTCTTGACTTTTAATCATTTTGTTACCCTTATTAAGACCACTCGAATAAGTTAAGAGAGCGACAGCTGTAAAGCCAGACATCCGTACTTTTATTCGTTCAGTTCTCGCGGGCAAATATATACAGTCTTTTTTAATCTTGCCCTCTTCAATTATCGGGCACCCCGCCTTGGACGAGTGTAGTCGTTACTGAAAAATTGACGAAGTTGATGTTTTTAAGGCTCGCAGTTGGTCGCCTTCTAAAGGGTCAATTCTAAGTTAGATGGATGAATTTGTATTTGAAAAATTTTCGGTCGTACTGAGCATAGTCGTTTCTCCATCCTTCACATCTTGCTTGTACTGTTGATAGCGCTGGTTTTTCCTTCGCAGTCTTGCTGTATCCGGCGTCAAAGTGGAATACCGTCGGTGATGGAAAGGGTATGAAATCCGGAAAACGAGCAGGTGAGAAGCACTCTGAACCGTGGAATCCTGTGTAAAATGGTTCCCGAAGGGGGTGGTGTTAGCGGTCACGGTGGAGTTCGTAGCTCAGCCGGACGCTCAAATCTAAGCCCTAAAATTCAAACGGAGAGACTGTCCAGTGGTCTGCAGTATCCTTGAATTCTTTTTATGCATTCTCTTGATTCTTTGATTTACCTGCCCTGCTAGCCGTGGACGGTTGAAATTCCTCTTGTCATTCAATCCTGGGAAAATAAACCTTTTTCGGTTCTCAGCGTACCATAGGAATTTTATTTCTATCTATTTCATCACAAAGTACTGCTCTCTTCCAGGCCTCAGAAACTGGTCAATTTAATAGAACGCTACAAGAAAGCGATCACATAACTCTATTTCAGTAGTCCTACCCTATTCCATCGAACAAAGACCAAACTTGAAAGTGGAGTCGTTTATTTGTCAGAGAGCACAATGTCTCCAAAATATCGTCTTCGGTCGCAGCGTTCCCGGGACCCAAATCCTGGGATACCCTTTAAAAACCTGGGCCCGGCGCAATTTCCCTATGCGGACAAGAAGCGGGAGCGCGCGAATACGGAATACAAGTAATTGTGTTCCTAGATATGCCGGCGAGATAGCGATTGAATAACCATCGAAAACAGTATTCAGGCGATAAAAGCCTTTTCAACGACCGTCTATTCTGTCGAGGCGGTTTCGCGAAGGAGTGGTCGTGAGAATATTATCATGCGCCCGCCTGCCTAACAAAGGACCTTCGTGAATCGCCTTTTAAAATTAAATCCTTTCACCACCAGCTCGTCTCCTCTCAATCCTCCCGTTTCCCCTCTTTTATTGGCCGCTCGAGTCGGCTATTCGCTATTTTACAGCTGGACAATCTTTGGATTAATCGTCTAATCTAGCCAGTATCCTTCAGTTTTTTAAGCCACGAAAAATTTCCTGATTTCCCACCTTCCAAACCTCTGACCCCTTGTCATGTTGAGCTCCCGTAGTTCATACACTGGAAAAATAAAACACATGTGATCTAGAGTCCAGACTCTTAACTAAATCTAATTAAGAAAATGAAAGTCCCCATATCTGAAAG